AAACATAATTAATATTAATTTAGTGTGTGCTTTCCACGTGACTGAGTCTTCTTCTTCCTTAGTCTCCATTAAAAACCAGTGAACCTTAGAATCAAAATTTCTACTCAATTTCTTAATGGAAGCAAATTTAAAGAAGAACAAGATGAGAAAACCCTAAAACCTTCATCAATTGAACTCTTTCAACCAACAATTGCGAAGATATCAGTTGCTCGAATTTGTCAATCAATTGGTTTTACTGGCTCTCAAACTTCTGCATTAGAATCATTTTCAAATATTGTAACTAGATATCTCGAAACCCTATCGAAATCTGCTTCATTGAGTGCAAATTCATGTGGAAGAACTGAATGTAATTTGTTTGATGTAATTCAAGCAATCGAAGATATGAATTCTAATAGAGGATTTGTTGTATGAAGAAATCATTGTTGAAATCATTGCTAAACCAATTCCAAGAAGAAATTTAAAGAAAAGTTTGGTTCTTTCATGAGTTGAAGATAAAGTTATGAGATTTTTGCATATTCCATCTTGGCTTCCTAGTTTTCCTAATGTTAGTACGTATAAGAAGATTCAGAAAGAAGAGAGAATTGGTTTTAATGAAGAAGAATTAGGTCATTGTTCTTGTATTTAAGTTTTTTTTTTTATTAACATGTTGTATTGAATTTAATGTAACAAACTTTATTTGATCTATGAATGATATTGTGTTTCAATTTGTTTCTTAAAGCAATTGGTAATAGAAGATAAGCAAATTTGTTTCAATGAAGCAATATGTAATGATGGGTATCATGGGGGTTGGGGAAGAAGATGAGTCAACTCGATGTAACTCACTTCTATTAAAAACCTAACTCGGTTTAAAAACCCAACCAAATCAGTAGGGCTTAAGTTATTATCAACAATTTTTTTTATTAATTAATATAAAATTATAATTTTTTTTATCAACGTCAGATATTTGGTCGGCAAAAGTAATCGGATTCCGTTCATGTTGTTAGTTTGGAAACCTAAAATAAACTATGATGTTAGTTTGAAACTTGGTTGTTAGTTTTGCAAGTAACTTCAAAGTACGTTGTTAGTTTGAGTATTTAAGTCTAATCTATATTGTGACTAACCAAGAAGATGATACATCAATTTTGTTGAATTGAAAATTAAGACACGGAATCCAATTTTTTCAAATAAGGGTATAATAGAGATTTCACCAAAGTGATAAGATTTTTTTAACTGTCAGACTAATTTTCTTCGCAACTTGCCTCATTCTAAAGCCACCGGGGAGCATGGTGAGCAAAACCCCGGTGAGCAAAAAATTTCTCCTTGAGTAGGTGCTTAGCATGGATTTGGAATTGTATTTTTTTAGTTATTTGATCAAATTGAATTAAATTTAGCATTACTCTAATTTTCCCCTATCGAAATTGCGAATTAAGATGTGTGTTTTGTGGTGATATGTGGATGATGTTTGAGGTAATATATGTAATTTGGGACCTTATAAGAACCATTCATTTCCCTATTAGATAACAAGTTATTTGAGTTTGTAATCATCTTTCAAGCTTTCTGTTTAGGATTTGGTAATAAGTTTCCTACATAAAACCCTCAACATTGAAATTACATGAAGGTATTTGCTAGTACGGAATAAAATGCATTGTCCAATGATTACTATGAAGTTTGTGAGTTTCGGTTCATTATAAGTTCATGCACTACGAGGGAGTTATAATTCATTCAAATTTGATGAAATAGGTTCTTATACTGCCATTCATAGGTGC